CCATCGAGCGGACGATAGAGCTTAACCCCGGTGTCGCCGACCGCCTCTCCGGCCGGGTCCTGCACTGGGGCGACGAGGAAGCAGCGGCGCAACTGCTAGCAACTGGGAGACGCCACCACCCCGTATCGGTCATCCTCTGCTCCGACCTGCTGTACGGCGATGGGGCACCGGCGGGGGGGGGGGGCGGCGGCGAGGGGTCCGCGGATTCCGGAGAGGCGGGGGCGGGGGTGGAGGTGGAGGAGGAGGAGGAGGAGGAGCAAGTGATCGGGGCCGCGGAAGCCTTGGCTATTACGCTCAGCGCGGTGGTTCGATCGTCGAGGGCCGCGTCGAGCAAGTGCGTGATTCTGAGCTGCCACGAGCGCAGGTGGGCCGGCGACAAGGGCGCCTTCTTCTTCGAGACGATGGCCAGGAGGGGTTTCCAGGCGGAGGCGGTCGACCCGGGGGACATCGACGAGCGGTATGCCGGGGACTGCGGCATCGCATTCTCGCGAATACGTCTCCCCCTGTGATGTTTTTCGTTCTACCGACGCTTCTTTTTTTGGGGGCGCTCGCCCGCTGTTCGCAGCTCTGCTGCTCTCAGTTGTTGTTGTACTCCGCTGTTCCTGTCAAGGTTTTCTGTCTTCCCGTTCCAGCTTTCGGCTCGTGTTTTGAATATTCACCCAGCTACACAATAGTCGCCGCTTGTATATTCACCCAGCTACACAATAGTCGCCGCTTGTAGTGCTAGCTCTCGGTGTTCCGGTCTCTGCTTTTTGCTGCTCCCCGGTATCGTCTTTGAACGATTTGCAAACGCGGTGTTGCGTTGCGTTCATCATTAGACGTACTTTATGTACAGAGGGGTAGTGAGGTCCGTTTGTTCGAACCTGCATTGAATTTCCGAGCTCCAGCATGCATCTGTGTCCCATCTTTGGTAGACAAAGGGTCTGTTTATTCGGCCCCTCCGGTCAGGGCGAGCTACACTAATTCGTAGTGCTATTTAACTTTATCCTGGGTTCCCAGGATTTTGATATTCTCTCCGGGCGGGTAAATCGGCACACTTATCATGATACGCATGGGAAAAAAGCTCTGCAGCTCGGAGTACGTTTCGGTTGGAATTAGTTGTTGATATAACCCGAGCCTGTGCTCCATGCGTTTCAGTTGTCAATCGAGCGAAGCGAGCTAGATAGCTGAGTGGCCGAAATGAGTTTGCTATTAAAGAGAGAAATATCCACGTTCGACGCCTCCGCTCCAGAAACAGCTAAATAGCGATCGGGTGCATCCCACCCTCTGCCCAATCTTGCCACAATAACCATCACCGTTTGGTTCTCCAGCTTCCTTTCACTCTGCGGTGCTTGCCTTTGGACTTCGAACGCGAGAAGTTTCGGCGTCCTCAAGTGGTGTGTGTGTTTACTCTCTTCGATGCACTGCCCTCTACAGCAGTATTTAGATCGCAGATTTTTTCGTTCATCTCCTCCAGAGGAGAGATAGATTCGAATGCACACCACCCGTGGAGTATTTTCTTGAAAAGAAACTCCGCCGTCTCACCTGACTTTTTGTCTCCTCTTCGTCTTCCCATGGGGCGGCGCCACCTCTTTCCCTGCGGGGGAACACTGCAGCAACAGCAGCGGCGGGAGTAGTACTTGCCGCACCCTCTGCATCAGCAGCAGCACCGGAGGAGGGAGCGGTGGGACAGAACGACGACCCCTGCTGCTCCTGTTTCTGCGGCACGCGGCGATGTGCTTCCGCCTCCTCCTCGCTCCGCGCGGGGCGGGTTCTGTATCTTGGCCTCCTTGTGGTAGTGCTTCTTGCCCTTCGAAAGCAGCCTCATGATGGAGGAAGTCGTGGTGCTGCCCCGCGGCAGCGAGGATCGCGTGGGCAAGGCGGGTATCAACGCTTCCGTCTTGCACACCTTGCAAGGCAAGCGCGCCATCGCCGTGAGGAACTTCCGCCACGTGATGTCGCTCCAGGCGTCTGGCCGCTCTGGCAGCGGGCACCGGCACACGTCTGGTAGCACCCGTTGCCCGACTCCCTGACGTTCTTCGTCAGGATACGAGAGCTTGTAGCTGTAGCGCCTGAGGTCATCCCTCGGCAGGCTGCGAGAAGCGGACGTGGAAATTCTGTGCATCTTTGTCTGCGCTGCGTACTGCTGCAGCAGGCTACTACAGCAGTACTCCGTTCTGCGTACAAGTGTGACCTTGTTGTCCAGTCAGTAGATGGACCACGGGAAGATATCCCAGCCGAAGATTTGCGATGATGTTCAACAAAGATTTTCAGGGAGATCTTCACGCAGCTGTCTTCCTTGCTTGTCTCCTCTCTTTCCCCCTCTGATCTATACCTGTCTGGTAGGCTACCTGGCAGTCAGTCTCGGTTGTTTGTGTTGGGGATTCGAGGTTGTGCTCAAGCAAGCTCTCTTTTGGCGACGGCTCTGTGTATGTGCGGGTCCCGGGGCAGCCGTTATCGTGAGTGACTTGCTCCACTGGCTCGGAAGTCTCGGAATGTGTAATGATAATCTCCTTTTTTCTTTTTTTTCGGAAAGCACGCCAGTATCCAGTATCCATCAGGCTTTCCCCACTCACGGCAAGGACTTTTCAATACATGCGACTACACTGCTGTGGTATCACCTAGTCTTTCAGTGGGTGTAGGCATATCTAACGCAACGAATCCATCTCGTCCAGACTTCCACGCACAGCATGATAGCATACAGCAGTTCAGGTTTCGAGAAGAAAAAAAAGAATCTTCGTCCAAATGCCCGTTCGGCACGACGGGGAGAGGTTCACCGGCGCCAGACCAGTTCTGGTGTCCGTTGGATTTCGGTGAGTTTTGGTGTTCGGTGTAATCGGTTCATCGGGGCGATGTTCATGTCCGTCCCATGCAGCTGTGCTGCCTCCCACCACCGCCACGACCGTCCTCGACACCTTCCCTCAGCACACTAGACTACCACTCCTCTCCCACACCCCAGAGAAAGCTAACCCACTGCCTCTTCTCCAGCTTCAATACGTAGAAAAGGCTCTACCCTGAGCATATTAGCAGCCTGCTACGTGACCTTTACGTGTGTTCTTTACGGTCAGCGTTGCGCAACACTACGTAGGGTGAAAGAGGAGGGAGAGTGGAGAGAGTAGTAAGGCGCGTTTGTTGATCAAGCGATGGAGGGCAGTAAGACGTGCTGCGGTTACCCTCGGAAACGGGTCCTGTGCTGCGCTGTGCCCACGGTGTTAGCCATCATTGCCGGGGTGATCGTGCTGGTTGTTCTGCTTCTCCGTAGCCCCGACGACATCGAGACGCAGGAGAGGACAGAATCTGGCCCCACGACCGCCGAGGAACTGTCCATCCTGAAGACGGCGACTCTCTCCTCCAGCGAGGTTTCGGGCACCGTTTCCTTGCTTAGTGTCGCCGCGGACAACAGCTCCTTTCTCGCTCTCAACGACTTCGTCATCAACGACGCCTGTGACGATGCCGAGATCCGGCTGCAGGAAGCCGGGTTCACGTCCGGCACGACTAGCGGTGTCGTCGTGGTGCCTTTGACGGCCGACACAGCGAGTGCCGTGGAGTTGGATTTCACGGAGCCTCTCGATGAGGATTTCGAGGCAGAGCTTTTCGACCAGGTGAGAGCGCTGTGTCTAAAATTGTAATCTAGGCTTCAAACCTTACCGATGGGGAAAAAAACATGCGTACGTACATGTAGAACCATTTCCCGTACCCGAAATAAGCAACGGCAAACCGAGTGTTCTGCACGTAACAGACATTTCTTTGTTTTCTTGCAGCGGCAGGGGGCGCGAAGCGGTAGTGTTGGTTGATTAGTGGAGCGTGTTCGATACCAGGATGGTTGTGTTGCTCCCAGGCATCTAAAGTGGGATGGTGTGTAAAGGTGTTCCAGAGCCTGACGTGAAGAGTCAAGAGCGCCGAGCCTGTTGCCGGTGTCGGTGTTGATTGTCCAACATGTTTGCTTAATTCGAAAACCTGCGAAGGTTACTGCCACGTGTCGAAAATAATAGTGCCTCGACAAAAGGGCAACGTTAGACTTCCGAGCACGCGCGTAGCGAACGAGGGCCCCCCTGCTGGCGCCTCTCCGTGGCACACGGAACCTCATCGTGCCTCGTCCCTACTGCGTTGCTACGACAAGCGGGGGGTTTCCCTTGTCTCCGGCATGTTCAAAAGTTGTTTGATACAAACTACGTACACTACACTTTTTTTCTCTCCCATGCCGAATACCTCACGGTGCTTCGCGCTTGTGAGAACCCGGCGTGCTCCGTCCTGGCTTTGTAGGGATGCGAGGCCAATGATCTAACGACTACGGCATGCATGACTATGAGTACACCCCCCTCCCATACCATTCATTGCAAAATTCGCCCGAAAAAACAAACAAACGAAACGAATCAAACCAACGACGAAAAAGGTCGCCCTGTGGTGCGGAGGGGCGCAGCTCGGCGACGCCGTGGACCTCGTCACGCCCACCACCGTGGGGGACGGCGGGCCGCTTCTGCTGCGGGAGGCGGTCATGTCGGGGACGTCCAGCTACACGGTCGAGGGGATGGTGCAGATCATCGGGTCGGGCTCCATCGTCGACGACGCGTTGGTCACCACGTACTCCTTGAGGTATGTGTGTCTTTCTTACTAATTAGCATTGACCGCGCTAACCGGCTGACCAATGAAAATACGTCAGTCTCAGTGCGGTGGAAAACACAAAATGTTTCTTTATGGCCACGATCTGGGATCCTGTTACCAAGCGTCATGGGAGAGTCTACGATACTCTAAGGACAGATACCGTAGCAATAACAGAAGAAAACTGTACGTGTGTGTGTGTGTGTGTGTTTTTTTTATTATTATTGGCATCGACCGCGCTAACCGGCTGACCAATGAAAAGACGATGTCAGTCTTAGTTCGGTGTGTGTGTGTGTGTGTTTTCGCGTGAGCGTTCGGTTTTGCATGTGTGTGTGTTTTTTTTTTAATTATTATTAGCATCGACCACGCTAACCGACCGACCAATGAAACGACGTCAGTGCCAGCGGGTATGTGTAGTTGCGTGTTCTTGTGTGAGTAAGCATTCGTTTTTATTTTTTTCTCAAGATGAATCAACAAATGTCAACGTTGACGATTGCCCCCCCCCCTCTTCTCGCAGCGATCAGAAACGAACATAATCCATCCGCGGTGACCTACATATACATGTTGTTGCCGTCTTTCCTTCGACATTCTCCTCCTCGTACATTGATGGAAACCAACATACAATGAACCTCTTCTTTCGCTATTGAACCGCCGGTGTATACCTCAGGTTCCAGGACATCGAGGTATCGTCGGGCCCGGACGTATTCCTGTACCTGACGGCCGACTTCGACGACCCTGAAGACGTGGACTCGGAGGGGTCTCTCAGGGTCGAGCTGGACGGCACGGAACGCGGGACGTTCTCCTTCACGGGGAACTTCACGGATGCCGTTCCGGAAGGCTTCATTTCTCCGGAAGATGTGAGAAAAGGAGAGACCGGCAGACAGGCAGACAGACAGGCAGGCAGGCAGGCAGGCAGGCAGGCAGACAGGCAGGCAGACAGACAGACAGGCAGACAGACAGACAGACAAACAGAGAATTTCAGCGTAATTCAGATGGTAGCACAAGTTCCACGCGGCAACAACTGCATCTGCATCATGGAGTAGTAGGCGACAACGACAGCGTCAGCTGCCGTCGTTCGGCTGTCGACTGCATCCGGTCACGACGGTTTGCGTTTGCACTTTCACAGTAGACACTTGTCCCCGGGAGACTCTGCATACAGCAGTAGCTTGGGTGATGGTAATGAGGACGGACAGTGATGATGTAGCAACAAAAGACGATTCTTACCGTGTTTTGGCATAAAGAACGATCCTTTTTTTGCTGCTCCACGTGCGTGTTTTCGTTTCTTTGACTTTCGCTCTTGCTCACGTACGTGCGCCACCGCCGTACTTGCCTCCCCTTTCCCCCCGCTCCCTCATCCCGTGCTCGGTGCCGTGCCCCTCCTTCCTTGCTCTGTCCCTCCTTCCTTGCTCTGTCCCTGCTTACGCCCGCCTACTGCTGCACTTCTCGCTCACGGACGCAGTACGCGGCGGCAGTCGTTTGGTGCGACCAGTTCAGTGTCTTCTTTGGAAGCGGGCTGTTCGAGGATGTGGCATGATGATGTTTTTTTATTTGGGGGGGGGGGGGGGGGCGATAGAATAATGCTAGGGACTGCTGCTGCTGTATCGCGTACAAACATGCTGTGCCGTCCGATCCCCTGTTGTTCCTCCGGAGTAGGCTGTACGCCCTAGAAGGGGTGGGGGGGTGGGCGGAACTCCGTTATTTTTGCCGACGGCATTGGAAGAGCACCGTCAATTCTGGCAATAATGCGGGGGCTTAGGGACGAGGCTCAAAATCGGTTTTTTGGTTTGCCTTATCTCGCGCGGAAATAAGGCAAATGAGAGTGAGAAGGCGCGTTGACAGATATTTCATTCCCAGTTCGAGAAACTGCTGGACAGATACCTGTATACCTGTTTTGCCCCTCGAGGATGCCGGCTGCCACGTGGAGAAGCCTTTGTTGTGCCGCGTGTGTGTGTGTGTTGGTCCCATCTACTGTATTCTGGCGCCGGTTGCAGGCGTTTCGGCGTGTATGCCGGAGTCACACAACAAGAGGAAGGTCACACAGAAGCTTTTTGTTCATTTTTTTTTTTTTTTTGTCACCCCGCCTTTCCCCCTGCGGTTCTTGCCTTTGGTTTCTATCGCGAGATTGGTTCAGCCCTCCCTTTCTCTCGTCGACCGTGAATGCGGTTGTATTTTTTGTCGAGGGCGGCGGCGGTGGTACCTGATCTCTTGTGGTGTTCCGTGTCCTGGGTGGGGTTACGAGAAGGATCTGTGTTGTTCGCTGGAAGAAGTTTACTCCTTGAGAGTCCGTCAGAAACAGCAATTGTTTGGGTGGGAAAGACAGTCAAGGGCGGTAAGAGGTACGAGGTGTGTGTGTGTGTGAAATGTGTAGAAGCTAGGCGCCTTTTCGGCCAGACTCGAGTGGGGAGAGAGAAAGGGCGTCGTTAGAGCCCTGCTAGCAACAGAGCGTGTGCAGCGAGCGGCGGAAACATAACACCGCCACCATCCCCGTTCCTTGAAATAGGGGAGCACGGCGGCAGTGTTTTGCTGGCAAAGGAAGGGAGTGTTGCCAAGAGAGCAAACGGAAAGAGATCGTGAAAAATTGTTGTTGTGGGCTCTGAAAGTGTTGCACCTGCTGTGTCTAGTTCCATACCCCCCCCTCCCCCCCTGGTCCGGTGAGAACCCGGCGTGCTCCGTCCCGGCTTTGTAGGGATGCGAGGTCAATGGTCTAACGACTACGGCATGCACGACTATGTGTACACCCCCCCCCCCCCCTCTCCCGCTTCATGTACACACGGTGGTGGTGGTGCCAGGACGGACCGTAGTCACAGATGTCACTCGAGACTTTTTGAGGCTTGTAGCTTTTGGGGGGGGCGCAAGAAGAGGGCGCACGTGTGTGCGGAGCGTGGGACGCCCCGTCTTTGTTTTTTCGATCGGTGTTCGTTTTCTCGCTCCGTGGGTTTTACTTGCTGTCGCCGGAGTCAGTCGTTGTCCTTGTACTTTTTTGTGTTTTTTCTGGCTACCGCGTGATTCGTTCTATGTTTTTTGTTTCTGGCCGGCCCCCCGTGTAGTTTGTTTGGTGCCGATGCTGCTGCCACCTGTAGGTTACTGGCTCATTTTGCCCTGTTTGATACGACCTTTTGATTGAGTAGTATTATCGTCGGTCTCACAGAAAATCTGGATGCATTGGTCGCCCGGAGTGCGTTGGTGCGTGGATCATCTTGTTGTTGGTTGTCCCTTGGGTTCTCGGGGCTTGTTGTCTGTTCGGCTGGTTACGATTAGCCGCATCCCATGTCAAGAGTTAGGTAGCACGTGGTATTGGAAGGGGGGTGGTTCACGGAGGTGCAACAAGGCAAGCAAGCAGTTTCTTCAGAGAGATAGATGTGTATCTTGGACGATCTCTCACTAAAGTTAGGCTTAAGCCTTCCTTCGTTGTAGGAGCTGTACTACTGTAGATACGCCCAAGGACGGTTGGTTCCGTCCCCTTCGTAAGGGAGATTTCTTGATCCAATCCAACCGTTCCTCAACAAGCAAAACAGCATTTTTGAAGCACGGTGATCTTGCTTCTGTTTACGAAGGACCTTGTCTGTGTATCACCGATATTCAGCAACAATGTGGGGCCTACGCAAGCAAGGAGCCCTGCGGACTTTCTGCAAGAGATTCTGCGTTCCCCCCACCTGGAGGGAACTTTGAAGCTCAGCCCGATCTAGTCTTGGCAACTGGACTCTAGACGGCACATATTTTCCCATGTGCGAGGAGCGGTTCATAGAATCAAAAACACTGCTCGGTCTGCCCGGTGATCAGACTAATTTTGAAACGCACCTTACCTTTTCCCCGTCGCTTCGTAGGTTCGTGTGTACGGTGGGAATCTCGCACAAGAGGCGTACTGGTAGTAGTAATGGCCCGTCGAGGGCATCATGCCAACAGCCTTCCCAAAACTGGAGTGACACCATCTGAGATAGTTCGAACCTCCCCGAATCAATCTCCGCGCTGAGGCGCAGCAGCAGCAACAACACCGCACACACCAAAAACTAATACCAGAACAAGCGAAAAAAACGTCCCCTTCGACCACTGCTGCTGTGGGTTTACCTCGGGTAGAGAGAGAGGGACAAGGTGCCCGCAGTTTTCTGATTGGCCAATGTTTTCAAAGGAAACTTGGTTCGATCACCTGTGTGAAAAGGATGATCAACTATTTGAGAGAGAGAGGGACAAGGTGCCCGCAGTTTTCTGATTGGCCAATGTTTTCAAAGGAAACTTGGTTCGATCACCTGTGTGAAAAGGATGATCAACTATTTGCTTGGAAGAAACTCATTTGAAAGGAGAGGATTTGTTGTGGAGGCACCGTTGGTTTCCGCAATCTTTCGGTCGATTTTGAAAGAAACTCATGGCTGCATGTAACTTTTTTTAGGAGAAAACATTTTGTTTCTCAAAACCAATCACAAAAATCAACATGCACACACCAGCAGCAGCAGGACGACGCTTCCTATCCTGAATATTAAACGGTCCATCCACAACAACGCCATGCCCTCTTTTTTGCAAAAATTACCGCATTGTATTATTTACTTCACCCCCTTTCTTACAAAATAACAACAAAAAAAACAGGTGCAACTACCTCTATCCGAGAACAAAATTCAATCAATTGGATCGCCATATTTTTTTTCGAACATCGCACAACAAAATCCACTACTGTTGTTTTTTCAATTCAATATTTGTCGATATACCTCACGGGGGGGGGGGGGAGGTTCCCCGTCCGGTCACCGACAAAATTACGGGCCTTCCCCCGGACTTCGACGGTCAATGCGCTGCCGCCACAAACAAAATCGCGAAAACGGAAACTGGAAGATACTAAAAAAATTCACCCCCACGACATGCACGTATAATCTTTTTCAAGCACACGCAAAACGGCACCTCTTAGAAGTATATGCATAATTCGATACATACGACAGAGAGAGATGGGTCAAAAAGAGCCGGGGGCTACTGTGTCTATAACGCCTTCACAATGTCTGAGACACGGTGTGGAATAACACTCTCATGAAATTCAGGTGCTGCTCAAATCACACAAATGTGCGAGCAGTACACCGCTGGACTGAGCTCTCCAAGGGGGGAGAAGAAAAAACGAACTAAAAAAAAAAACAGAGAAGAACGGACGGCAACAATAAATCTTGTATTTTGACTATAGAGAACTGCTCTGACCCTCTCCATACGTACCTCTCAACCTACCACTTTTGTGAAACACTAATCAAAGGAGAAGCAGGCAAACAAATCAATAGCGTGAGAAGGGCGGGGGCGTGCAGTAGGCTTGAAGTACGCCCCCTGCTTCGGGCGCCTTTGTCCAGCCAGGGGAAGACAAAACACTACAATACGACACTACACGCAACACGCATCATCGACAGACGATTTGGTCATCAACGAGAGAGGTAGCCTAAGAGGTAGTCAACACTTGCACAAGAGCGGTAGTCTCGCCCCCCCCCCCCCCCCCCC